TTACTCCGATTCTTATTAAGTCCCCCAAACATGGTTTGGGGACTTATTAAGTCCCCCAAACATGGTTTGGGGACTTATTGTTTTTATTCCTCTGTGTTCTTCTTCTTCTTCTTCTTCAGCCATGAACTTGTCCAGAGGTTTCCTCAGCAACTATTGAGCGGATCATCATGAAGCCTCACACACATACTCATTAGGGGGTCAAGGTGTGCAACAGGCTATTTTAATCTCGACCGGAAGTCAAAGATGGCCGCCAGAACCTTAGTTCCTGTTTTGGAGTTTTTGGCTTTGATTTCGTTGAAAATTGGTACATAGGGGTTTTCAGGGATTCCGAACACAATGGTAACAGTTTTGAAAAGTTCAGTTGCCATGGTAACGAAATGGAGGCCTCTGATTGGTCGAAATTTAGTTGTTTTTTGATTCTGCCTAAATTGGTACATAGGGGTTTTGTGGGATTCCGAACACAACGGTAACAGTTTCGAAAAGTTCAGTTGCCATGGTAACGAAATGGAGGCCTCTGATTGGTCGAAATTTAGTTCTTTTCTGATTCTGCCCAAATTGGTACATAGGGGTTTTGTGGGATTCCGGACACAATGGTAACAGTGGTCGAAATTTAGATGTTGTCTGATTTTGCCAAAGTTCCTAAGTCCAACAGGGGTCGTTTGGGGGACTAATCTGTAACGGCCATCCGTTACAATTATTACTAGTTATTATTATTCTTTCTTCTTCTTCCGCTTTCCGCCGTAAAGGTTTCCGACACTTTCCTCAGAAACTATAAGTCGGATCTTCACCAAACTTTGAGGGATTATGACTGATAGCCTCTAGATATGCAAACAGCTTTTTTGTTTTTACGATTACCATCCAAATGGCCGCCATGAAATTTTGATTTTTTTGGGGAATTTAAAATTTCTGAAGGTGTTCGCTAAGGATAGCCAATGTCACCTATCCTATTTTACATGTTTTATAGATATTTTCCAATGCATTCCAAATTTGGCATGTAGGTGTATGATGGTACCGCGAACTCAACCATGACATCCGTTTTCTAATTAGACAAAATGACTGCCATATAATGGTTACTGATTGGTCGAAACTCTGTTATTGTTCAATTTCATTCAAATTTAGTATGTATGTGTAATATGGCATTGCAAACTCAACTGCGACATTTGTTTTCTAATTTGACAAAATGGCCCCCATATACTGGGTTCTGATTGGTGGAAATTTAGAGATTGTTCGATGTTTGTGAAAATTGGTGTACAGGGTATTAGGGGACTGTGAATTCAATCGCATAGAATTTGTTGCCATATCAACCACACGGAGGCTTCTGATTGGTCGACATTTAGATAGTGTTCGATTTTGATGGCAATCGATATATAGGGGTATTAAAGGATTGCAAATTAAATCGCATACCTTCGTTGCCAAAGAAATCACACAGAGGCTTCTAATTGGTCGCAATTAAGAAATTGTTCGATTTCACTCAAATTAAGTATGTAGGTGTATAAAGGCATTAATTGCGATCATTTTCTGATGCATCTTTGCGACTATTTATTTATTTATTTATTTCCAATTTAACCGACCCAAGGGTCCACTAACAGAATGGATAACAACATTACAACACAAGTATAAAATATCAGTCAGTTATGCATGTAACACAGACTAAAAGATACTCATATGTAAAACAAAAGGAATTAGTGATAGCAAATATTCTTTAACCGTACTTTGAACTCGGTGAGAGAGGAACAAAACATATCACAGTCTTGTGCAAAAACAAGATAGTTAAAATTACTTTGAATCCTGTTTAAAATAGTATACTTTCTAACGTTTATTCTACTTTTCTGGCAGTAAAACTGGTTAAAACGAATTGATCGTAGATTACGACCAGGGACTAAAAAACACATTTGCTTGACTAAATATGGACAATCAAAAGCACTATTAACACATTTGAAAAGAAATACACAGTCTAAAAATGGCCGCCTGTTCGAGGCTAGGAAGATTAAAATGCCTACGGGGTAGATATTGTTCGATTTTGATAAAAAAAAAAAGAAGTTTATATGAGTATTAGGGGACAGCCATAGCATCCTCATAGCAACCACACGGAGGCTTCTGATTGGTCGAAATTTAGATATTGTTTGATTTTTATGAAAATTGGTATATAGGGGTATTAGGGGACAGCAAATTAAGCCGCATAGGTTTCGTTGCCATAGTAACTATATAGCAAACATGCGGAGGCTTCTGATTGGTTCAAATTTATATATTGTTTGATTTTTATGAAAATTGGTATATAGGGGTATTAGGGGACTGCAAATTCAACTGCATAGATTTCATTGCCATACCAACAGCATAGAGGCTTCAGATTGGTCGAAATTCAGATATTGTTCGATTTCACTCAAACTTAGTATGAAGGTGTTTTATGTCATTGTGATCCTTTTCTGGTGTATCTTTGCGACTATGGGGACAGTTTGGGGGACTTCTGTAATGGTCGCCGTTACAATAAGTACTTGTTATATTGCTGAATTAAACGATTTTTTTAGTTTTTACATGCAAGCTTTAAATTAGTACTAATATGAATACCCGGCCTTCTCTGGCGCGACGACGCAATATATAAAAGAATCGCTCTTCTTCAGAAAGCTACGTTATCGCAGCTAGATTAAAAATGTCAAAATGACGGACCAAGATGAATAACTGAGGAAGGAGAACCAAATTCTAGTAAATAGGATCGCATACATATTTTTTTTTAAATCGTAATTTTTCAACAGTTCATGTTTTCATATGATGTTGACTTAGAATGTATGATCATGTATCAACCTTTTCTCTATAAAGAATTAATTTTCGACTTCAGATAGAATCGGAACACGTATTGAAAAACAGGGGGAAAACATTTGTTTACGCTGTAAAAATGACGCGTGCTGCCGATTACTACGGCTTCTGTTTCGGAAAAAAAAGAAATGATTAAAGAAAAGTTGTCCATTTACAAGAATGCTTTAATCTATGTAAAGTATTGAAAAATATAGTTATCAAGTATCTCAACACGTTCCATATCTGACACATATTCTACATGTACACGTAGTGGTATTGCCAAACAGTTTATTGTGTGTGATGGCTAATATGACTTACTAAGTGTAAGCGTATGGAGTATAAATTTATATGCATGGTTTAGAAAAAATAATTGGCCAAGGACATTGAGTTGGACAATGTAATAAACATAATTCACAAACGTTTCCCCTTTTTTATACGCGTGTAGTTTGTCATTGCATGTATGCACTTTATGAAAACATTTGAAAAGGGATATTCGTCTCGTGAATATTCCTTTTTACAGAAAGGTTTGTTCCATGGTTGAGTTTGAATACGGACTTAGAAATCATATTACTTGGATTCATAGTGCGGTAAGAAGTTGCAGTTGCCTAACGGCCCCTCTCTGGGGGCCCCTTTGGAAACCGTTTCACTGCCTAGTCTGGTGACGTTATCGGCGCTAATTTTAGCAGGACTATCCCGGACAATTCAAGTGGTCAAACTGGACATTTGGAACGGACTATGAATATGGGGATAGCGAGGTAACATAAGTGGAAGTGCATACAATGCATACATTCATTACAAAAAAATATGGCTCTTCACGTGATGTCCCTTTAACGCAAAACTAACTTTTTGCTCCGACGTAATCCAAACAGCGAGTATTACTCTGACGTATGCAGTATTGAGCTGTTAAGCTAGTGTGATGCAGAAAAAATATTTCATTTTCTCAAATGATTTGGAATTTACATATAAATATGTAACTGTCAACTGAAATCACGAGTTTAATAATAAATTGCCACAACATTCAAGCGTAGCTGATATTATTTACAGTTTCATTTTTTTTTTAACGAAGATGACATCTACATCCGTCAAAAACGTAATTTCCAAGTTTATATGTGTTATTTTTATATAATACGGTTCTATGGTATCAAAACATTACAGTGTAATTTATAAAGTACATGTATATGTAAAAAAAAAATATGTAACAAAATTAAAAAAACTTGGGTAGACAAATATTGAATAGCCTGGATAATCACCAATAGGATGGCTAAAGTATTACAACAGCTGAGGAAATATAGTTTAAAACAGAAGTTAAAAAAATCGATTTCCACTTCTTGGCTCCTAGCATCGTCGATAAGCCCAAGAAGGACGAAACATCTGCTATACACTTTCAGCATACTGTATCTGCTACCAATTTTAAAGCTGCAAATAATATCTGTGTGTGTTACGGTCATTTTACTAACAAATTGTCATTCTTTGGTGTGGTTTGTTTGAGGTTTTTAAGGACAAGCCAGATTTTGGTGGTGAAGGAAAGCCGAAGTTTCCGGAGAAAAAAACCCCGACCTACGGCCAGTACCTGACGACTGCCCAGCGTATAGGCCTCGAACCCGCGACCCAGTGGTGGAGGGCTAGTGGTAGCAGAATGTGAGACGCCTGAGGTTGTCAGTCAGTCTTAGGTTACTTCTGCCCTGGTTTAGAGGATTAACAACCCATTATTCTGAGTATCTCTGCCCTGGTAAAGTGAATTGCTATTTTTTTTCCAGAGTATTTTTACCTTCGTATATGGAGGATTGGGTTATCTAGGCATTGGTACAGAGGGCTATCACTCTGTCTTCAGGGTACCATCTAGTATAGAGGATTACCATTCTGTCTTTTGGGTTTAGGTTTTCGTTTAACGCCCTATTTACAGTTAAGGCCATTTAAGGACGTGTCTTCACGTGTCTTATGTATGCGTGCTTCTATGTATGTGCGCATGAGGCGGTATGTTGGTGTATCTGCTGCCGACTTTTAGATGTTACCTCACTAAAATACCATGCCGAAAACACCTAGCACAGTAACCCACCGATCACGTTATACTGACGATGGGTTAACAATTTTTGCTATCAACCTAAATTCTGAACGTTAATTAGGGATTAAGGGGTTAGTTAACAATTCCAATTTTGAAGACTGTGGTATATCCCAGCATGGGACAGAACCCATTGCCTACCTTACTTGAGCGAACATTAAACAACAATGCCAAAAGAGATTTATTAACAAGAGAGGCGTAAGGAAACAAAACGGTTGTTAGGAAGTAGAGTGGAGGTATACGCATAATTTATTGATATAATAAATCCCAATCGTTGCGATGGGAGAAACAGATTTATTTTTGTCGCTTTAGTGTCCACAAGCAGAGGACACAATAGAGCAGATGTACAAAGAATTATGATGATGTTATGTTCCCAATGCGATACACAATACTGATATTTCTATAAAACACATTCCGATCACTAGATATATTGATTTGCAATCACCTAAAGGCTGGTGACAAGTTAATGACGTCATTAAATTTGACATTTCAACGGATTGCAGAATTGGAATTTCAATAAATCCTGAAAGATGTTTTAAACTTTGTCATCACGGACGTCAAGTTTATATTTGACTAGACATATTAAAACAAATACAACGTATTTGAACCAGTAGTCGTAATTTCTCTTATGAAAATAACTGACGGGTGTCACCACTGACAAGTTCGTTGTTAATCAAGCTTTGTTAGCTCTTTGTATTTCATTTTATCTTGATGATAACCATTGGTGCTACTCTTGGTGTTGGACTGTTCTAATCATTTAAAGGCGGAAAACTACCGCGAAGTTCATGATAGGTAATCGGAATATGCCTGTACTTCCGGTTGCATTATCGTTGATGGTTGCATACGCTCTCTGCACTCCTGGAATGTGTCATAGCAAAATTGAAGGCTCAGTGTGCACCACATTGTGGATGAGACAAGAAGACTAGTGTACATCAAAGGAATCTCGCGGTCGCGTAACGGGAAAACTGGCAGGCTTTGCGGCATTGTGGTCAGCATCATATACGAGGAAAGTGTGTCAGGTAAAACTTTCATCCGTCCTAATGCTGGTCAAAGTGGTATGTAATTACGGACTGGTCAGCAGTTGTGAGGAGTACTTTATGAAGTATAACAAATCTGGACAGAATTGGCATCTAATTACGATAAGACAATGCTGACAGACATCGATGGATGTTAGTCTGAATGGCATCGTATTACCTGCACTATTGCACTTTGAAAAGACAACAATACGCATCACGATGTCATGAGCTGTTTACCCAATCTGCTGGACAGGGGCGACGGGACATCCAGTTCCATACGAACCACACGCCAGTGAATTTCCTACTCCTACCTTTAGACAGCTAAAACAGAACACGTTACCACAGGAACATGTCATAGTTTTACATCCCTTCAGATGCTCTATGAACTGGAAGCACTTAGGGCATGCGCGTATGCTTGGAACGTTTGGAATATTGCTGTAACCCATGGTCACTTTTCCGCAGTTTCGTAATAAGTCATTCGTAGCTCCTTTGTCAATAGGCTTTATGCCAAGAGTCGTGATGCGTGCGATCTGATCAATTCGTTGTTTGAAGAAGATCCTTTCATCATCAGACAAAGCAGCCTTGTTCGTGATTTCCTCAAACGTCCATGTCGTGAGGCATATCTTACATCTGAATGTTGCGTTACTATCCTTGAGTGACGTCAGACAGAAGCGGTAAAGATTATCTGGTGCTGAAAAGTGGAAATATGTAGGTATATACATTTGTATGTAAACCATGATAGACAGAATACCGTGCAAATCGAAATTTTCGCGGTGAGGACATATCCGCGTTTTTAGCAAGTAAGCGCGAAAATATTCACATGCGAATATTTATTTATAGATTATAGATATATAGAATATATAGAATTCGGAACCATTGTCAACGCGAATGTTTCTATACCGCAACCTATTTAAAGGGTAATAATGAGAACTTTTCTACACGCGAAATTAAAAAATGATAGAAGCGTGATAAATAAGTGGATTATTGTTTAAGTAGGAAATTTCGGGTTGACAATATTGCTGCACAGTTATAGCTGCATTGTGACACTGTATTTCTCGGGAGAGATTATGGAGAACTGGAAAAAAATCATCAATCTTGAAAATCCTCTCCTCAAGAACGTCTACCTTTCTTCGTACCAAATGAAAGTTAAAAAGGTGAATTATTTCCAGACGAAATGTTCATATGTACATTCGCTTTACTAGTCCTTTGTCTGATAAAGGTGACAGCTTACATATTGCGCTAGTCATCGAAAGCATTCCATACGTTGTGCTATATGAACCTGAATACAATCTATATTTAGTATTTACTAACCGGAAGTAAATGCTTAGACAATTAATTATCGGGGTTTAACGTCCTCGCAACAGTCAGGGTCATATGAAAACGGGGTTGAGAAATAAACAGGTCGTTTTAGTTAACCGTTCAAAAAATTAGGTGAATACAAAACTTACTGACGGCGTGACCACAGGCCATTTTGACGCGTGCTCCGTCCGCCATATAACCCTCGAACATGTCTGGTGCCGTACTTCCAGAAAGGGCACATATTGGTCTTTCCTTGGGGTGTATGATCAGCGCCATCTCACTTTGTGACGTCATTTCCTCTTTGGTCTCTACGATAAAAGGGCCCCTCACAATGTCAATGCTGTCACTCGTCACATTGTTCATACAAGCAAGATGATGCTTGATTTCTGCATACGATTTAATCTGAATTGAGAAGGAATAATGTAACAGTCAATATTAGCGTTTTAAAAAGAAAATAACAATAACAAAGCATATCCCCCGTTAAGGATCCTTTTCCCACTGCATTGTGGTTTATTGTCCTGGATACATGTACAGTAACCTCCCCTTAACTTCCGTTTGGATATAACGTTAGCACAGTTTGGCAGGACACTTCCGTTAACCTTTAGTAGCTCAATCAGTTACAGCGATAGTGTATCAAGGATTTAAACCCCGGTTTAGCCCCGCTAATGAGTTTACGTTCAATATACTGTTGTTGATGATATTTTGTTCATTTCATCTTTATTATTTCTCATAAAAGTCATGAAAGGTATGGTTTTCTATTCAGAAATGATTTATGAATAGTCATACCGGAAAGAAACAGTTTTCCAACCCTTAGTTAATTTGTTGACAGTGGTAGATGAATCCTTAAGTGTAAGTGAAGCATCAACCGATGCATCAGCATATATACCTCTGTGTTATTAACAATAATACGGTATGTAGCTCTTATTTTTCGAAAAAAAAAACATTCATTCATTTAATCATTTCATATTAACGACTTTGAACAAAATGTAAAACATATTCATCGTGCGAACTTCTGATATAGTTAATTACTCAGTTGCTTATTGGCAGTCGTTTGCGAAATTGAAACCCCGGAAAATTGCTCCGAAACCCAAACGGCACAAATAGCATCCCGCGAAATATCGTTAGCATCTTCAACTGAAATATATTTATAGTAATTAAAATTACTAAGTTTTATTAAAAAAAAGCTGCTGTATCCAAGGGTTCCACCATAGATGATACATTTCTTCTCTGATCCCTATGAACAGGACTTTGTCATGACATTAACAGGTTCCAGATATGAAAATGATTACGAGAGCGAACCTTGGATTTTAATGATGCGCTAACTGTAAAATACAGTGTTTTTTTAACAAGAGTTGCCCCCTCGTTTAAGGGCGAAAATAAAACGACCGCGTCAATTTATCGCTTTACAGTAAAGATTTTCAGTACACAAGGACAAAAAGACAGAAAATGACCGAGGAGACTCTAAAACACAAAGAAAGATATCACGAACCCACACTCTGAAACCAGTTAGCAGTTACTGATCTACATATAGCGACCGTCAAAGTCATGCATAGTTACTATAGCAATTACTAAAAATATCGATGCGGCGTAAGAAGGCGCATAATTAAAACTTTGATGCCAAGCAAAGCCAGACAAAGAAAGCATTTACTGCACCATATGTCGAGTTCATCGCTCTGGGATCATCAGTGGTATTGAAGGTCAAATGGAATAAATATCTGACGTGAAATGTTCCCAGACAGCGAACGGGAAATCGTATCAATAAATTCCTTTAAAACGTTAAAATTTACAAATTGAAGCCATAACAGATAATATTTTCTTGAATGAATTTTCATATCATTAATGTTTCTCTATTTCGCCAATGGAAGACTTTTTTCATGTTATATCTAATAACCTATAAAAAAAATGGCAACACTAAAAATGATGACGTTGTATACAACATGTTTGGGTGCCGTGTTTGTAGTTCTAACCTCTTATTGGTTACAGTTACTAGGCAATTCCTTAAGTAAACTGCACGGAATAAAATATACAGCTACGAGGCAGATAGTCCACCCGCAAAGTCAGCAGCTACCTTGTTACTTAAAACAATTACAAAATGTACTAGAAATCCGACATTAGAAAGCACTTATTTGAAACTGAATTTGAAATAATCAAATTTAGCTATGGAATCATTTTCACATCGACACTCTATCAAATATTCACTGAATAACACCACTTTAATGTACCAAAAGGAAAATATTTGGACAATTGTGACACAAAAAACACTTCCGCCGAATCTTAACTTACCTGGTCNCGGCCCCTTCTTAACCTTAAAAAAAAAAAAAAAAAAAAAAAAGAAGTCTTTTTTCATACATTCTTTAATAAAAGTAATTGAATGTCGCATTGGAGTATTGCCAAAAAATACGAGAAGAAAAAGTGTGACAATGAACGGAATAGCAGGTCATATTTTTGTATTTCAATAATTTACAGATAATTTCAACAATTAAAACACCAACGCCTCTTCATGTGTTCATATTATAAAACATAGCACATTGAAGGCACGAAGATAGCTGTTTGATTTATCTCAGGTAAAAAAAACCACCTGACCAATCGCTAGCCTGATACTTGTCCTTTGAAGATTACAAAGGAGAGACGTACAACTTCAAAGCCTGTCAATTTTTACCGTTGTGTGACCGCGAGATTCTTTTGATGTATTTCAAAGGATCAATCTAGTCTTCTTATCTCATCAACAAGGTGGCGCACACTGTGCCTTCAATTTTGCTATGACATATTCCAGGGGTGCAGAGAGCGAAAGTGAGCGTGATCCCTGGATATCGAGGATGACGTACCCCCTGGATATCGAGGATGTCTAATACTAGACATTTGAGACTTTTCTTCAATTTTGGAATGAAAGATCGTATTTCGAGCTAAAATACGATACAAGCATATGATAAGTCATTTTAAAGGACACTTACTACTCTTTCTATGTACATGTATATTGTATGTATAGTTTTATATGAGTTATGTTATGAAAGACATGTTGTTATTTTTGGCCATTTGTACTGTAGATTGAGAGACCTAGCTTATCCATTCTCCATTTGTTTCAGTTTGTTTTAAACGTGGTTATACTTTGAGCTTTTACAGTTCTTATTGCGAAAAGATTGCTTTTCAAAGCGTCCTGCATTACTGATTTGCCCTGCTGACTGACATAGCTCTCTAAAGTTTTACAAAACTGCAAGATTTATTGTCATATACCGGCGCGTAGCTGCCATGTTGTATGGTCCAAGCTAGTGATTATATTTATATATATATATATATATATAGGTGTTTTTACGTTTTTTAAGGAAAATATCAAATTTGGCTGTTTTTGTCCATAATGATAAACTCATAGATTTTTGTAACTTCAGAATCTAGGTTATTCGATGTCAATTTTATTATTAGTAATTTAATGTTATGTTCTATCATATCAATAACAATTCGGCTCGTTTGTTTAAGAAATTCTAGATAAATGTGTATTGAATAAAAGCCACAGAGTTTCTACAATTCATATTAGTTCGGGTAGGGGCGTTACGCTGGCTGGATGGAAAAGTGTCATTGCATTTCGTTTAGACAGATACGCGCCTGATATTAAGACTATTAATTTAAGATCCTCGGCGAAGCCTCAGGTTTTGCTAAACCCTTTGAAAACCCTTAGGAATTTCCCTATTCTACACCCCTGGGCATAAAAAAAATATAATATTCTTTATTCTTACACCCCTTTCTTACCCTGGACAGCTCTATCTTACACACACGGAAAATGGAGAAAAAGTGTGTATGTTATCTGTTGGGGCCAACTTGTTACGCTATTAAGGGTTCTGTATGTGTAAATATTTTCTCCAGGTATGGGGTCAACTGCTCGACCACATGGGTTTTCTCCGGGTACTCCGATTTCCTCCTACGGTAAGACCCCGCGCGCTAACATCCGGGCCAACAAGAGTGATTAATATAAGTTGAAATAAATTGTTTCGTAATTGTTGTAAAATAAATCAAGTTTATATTATACAACAATGTTTGTATGCAGAGTGCCTTTAATTTATTACCAAAGAATTAGCTCTCGTTTTGTACAACCCGGAAAAGACTGTTAACTCCTATTCAAGTTAAAAATAATACGAGTCATTGTGTTATTTAAAATGTATTATAATTCATATCATTAATGCTTTTTACATTACAAAGTACTAATAAGGGCCTCGCATCTAATCCGGTGGTGGTGTCCTCTAGCACGGACTGAAATAATCTAATTCCGTGCCTATAATAATCACGGTGTTCGTCCGTCCGTTTACACTTTCGTTTCCGAAGATTTTCTTGGAAACCGAAAGACTAATCTTTCTGAAATTTGACATGGTGATACACTGCAAACTGTAGATGCGTAATAAGGGGTTGAACCGTTTTTAATGTCAAGGTCAAGGTTACATTTACTAAAATTAGATTGGGGATTGGGGAATGGAGGTCGGTCAGGCACATGGTGAAACCGTTGCTGACCTGTCAGTGTTTCTAGTTTTTTTTCAAAAGTTTTAAAAAGATGTTCACATTCATAATACACAGATGCTATAATGTACATGTGGTATAATATACACATGTGGCATAACATACATATATGATATAATGTACATGTGATATAACATACATGGATGCTATAATGGACATGTGATATAACATACACATATGATATAATGTACATGTGGTATAATATACACATATGGCATAACATCCATATATGATATAATGTACATGTGATATAACATACACTATGCTATAATGAACATGTGGTATAATATACACATATGGCATAACATACATATAAGATATAATGTACATGTGGTATAATATACACATGTGGCATAACATACATACATGATATAATGTACATGGGGTATAATATACACATATGCTATAATGTACATGTGATATAATATACACATATGCTATAATGTACATGTGATATAATATACACATATGCTATAATGTACATGTGATATAATATACACATATGCTATAATGGACATGTGGCATAACATACTCAGGTTGTAAAACACATACAAAATGTATGTTATATATTCAGAAAATACTACTCTGCCCCATGTACAGTTAACTTGTTAGTAGTCAACAGCTTACGTCTACACCTATAGATACTCCAACGATTTTCCTGCTCATCAAATAAAGTACGGTCGGGCAATATCACTATAGAGCAACAGATCCATACATTATCATGTAAAGCACGTACCCGCCTCCTGAAATGTGAAGATTTCCAGAAAACATCCGAAAGACGTTATTTTACATTCACAAATAAACAATTTGAGTACGAAAGGAGGCCCCCGGGCATTGAACCTACCTTTGAATCAAACATACACGAAATTCTTAATTAATAGTATTCCTCTTAGTTAATATATTACTTACGTACAGTTTGTCCCTCAGTGCTTCGTTTTGTAAATTTTTCCTGAAGAATTAACACACATGCTATATTTAGTAACGTGGGTTTCATTACTCGGACGGGGTGCTGGTAAAGTAAATCACTGTTTATACTTTCACTTTCGTAATCGATGACGTACGTATGTAAATTTCTTCACTGATCTGTGGCATTAAATATTTCTGAAACTTCACACACATATTAAGCATAATAAAATATTAAATTATGGTTTGGCTTTAAGAACGCAGAGGTCAGGTTAAGGTCACTATACGTAGCTGTTACTATTTGCAGGATTTTTAGTCATCGCTAACGAATTTTCACGAATTTATTTATCTACAAATTATTATGAATGAAACTTCATGATGTAGTTGATAAAATCGCATCTCAAGGTGCTGCATTCAAGGTCATCGCTATGGCAACTTTATTTATTGTCAGATATATCAATTAAAAAGCTCATATAACGTACTTGTCATTTCGAGGTGGGTGCGCTCAATGTCATGTTTAGAGTCACCGCTACTATAGTCTCAGGAAACTATAATTTTATTCTTAACATTTTTTTCCCTATTTCAACAACAGCCGAGAAGTTGTCAGACTGATAGATTCAACCCACCCTCGGCCCCATGCAAACATCTTAGTAATAAGCGTTGATGCGACTTTCTCCTGGGACCCGAGGTTGCCCTCCACCAATATCAAATTCAACAAAATCATAGTATTGAAGTAAACAATTAAGATCGCGAGGAATTTATATATTTATATTTCCCCCATCACGTTTCTGTTTTTTGTTCTTTCTGAAATGTAATGTTGACAAAACAAGTCAGTATAGGAGATCCAAAGTATTTCAGCCGGTTTTATTCAAAATTGACTGGCGCTATCCAGAAACGTATATAACATGATATGCCGATGTCTCTGTCGCGATGTATTGTGAACAATCAGAAACATAATAAATAGATATATTCGATGTCAGTTTTAATACGGGTTAGACAGTGGCTGGAAGAACGGAATTATATCATAATGCTAGCTAGAATTTAAGATATCTAGCGTTAGAGGTTTTGAAAAGTCATGAGTGAGGCCCGAAATTCTGCAATGACAATAGTCTCAAGTGATACAAATGTAGTAAGAGCTACAGATTGCGTTAAAAATATTGCAGATATATTTTTTCTTTAATATTGAATTGAACTAGGCCTATCATCCTTGTTAAATGTTGGCTTTTTTATGTTTTTATTTATTTCTATATTTCTATAGTTTTTAGATCATGCTAAAAAAATCTTCAGTTGAAAAGATAAACAAACACAACAGTCGTGCAACGTCATCGATTCTAAAAGAAGTCATTTGAAATGTTCCCAATGTATGGAGTTTCTTCTGAAAATTATTTATTAAAGCTTATATATATATATCCTTCCACGGGAAAAGGTTCCCAATGCATAGCCTAGGCTACCACACGGCGACACGAGAATCCGGACCAAGTGGGGTTTCCAGCTTACCTCCCTTCCTTCTTGCATAGGGGGCGCTGAAGTTTGAGCAATGGCGCTGACCATGGGTGAAAATGCGGTGTAATCTGTTTGGTTAATACTTTAGTTATTATAATAAAAAGCGACCGCATTACCAATATGCCTCCACCAAAAGGAAAGCCAATTGGACATAGGAACCAAAGGTAGTGTGCATATATTTCATGTCAAGGACCATCGGGATGCAAATCACTAACTATTTAGCATGTTCATGATGTTGTTTATTGATTTCATGCCTGCTCCACAGGGCCAGGGGTTCGTATACCAGTAGCATATGTGTGTATTTCAGACATTTGTAACGAAACCCTGTGCTTGCTCCGTACAGTACAGTAGACTTTTGGGTTTAGCTGCTTCGGAGTCGAGTTACCGTATACTTCCTTATTATTATTGCTGTCTACGTATACAAATATAAGGTTACTTCTGAGTATATTTCTTTTAAACACTTGGTATACGGTTTTGGAGTGCTTGATTCGAATAATCCGAAGAATAACGATGACATGATAATTCCACGTTCCCATAATTATATATAAGTCTTAAAGGGAATTGATTTCATGAATGCTAGTCGTTTCGGTAACAAGTCGTTTCAGGACAAAATTAAGTCGTTTCGGGACATATAAAAAATATCATAAAAATATAAATGAATGTTACAAGTTACATTTCTCTTTCCCGTTTCATAAAAATCTGTGTAAACACATGTACAGCTTTCGTCGTAGCCTATAAGCAATGACGCCACGATTTATGTGTACACAAGAGTACGCATATGGTGGCTCGACCTACCCGTGCTTGGGATAATTATTTTTGCCAATTAACGCCACGCTCGGATTGCTTGGGGTATATACGTACCTGCAGACATGTACTACCTGATTGACAACAAGTTGTTAATTTGATGAAACTAATCCCATTACAAGTACCGAACGTGCAATATCAATTAATCAATTATTTTTACATAATTTCATTCGTTATTGAAGGTTCCTTGTTTGATATCGTGACAACATGTTTCCATTTTACTCTATTCCCTATTAATGTGGCCAACTTTATCAAGTTTCCCGTTTTACAAAAGTACTATCTTGACAGTAAATTCTGCACATAAAAAGTACACAATTTTACAATGTAGACTAGTAGGGTGTGTGTCTGCATTTCACACATTTTCTATCGTTTTCAAATCTCTGCAATCGAAAGGACAACAACAAATGATTTTATTCTTATTTCATATAACAAGTATTATACAATATAAAAATGTATACCATATGTAACAATAAATAATTACATTATATGTGACACTTCAGCTAACTATAAAGTCTCATCTCTTTACTCTTTTTTTACTAAATTTTGAAAACTACTCAATGAAAAAGTAAACAAAACAAACTTAAACATGTGTGCTAAACAACCAGACATAAACATGTGTGCTAAACAAACAGTAGAAAATAACGGGGAAATGACCCGGAAAAAAGTCCCGAAACAACCTCCGTCTTGTTACCGAAACGACCTAACACCGATTTCATGACATAAGCACAAAGCAATCAGATTTGAATAGCCAGGATCGTTGAAAGTATGCTGTACCAGTCCATGAATTGATATCAGGAAGTGAAGGTGAACTGTTCATGAAAAAAAAGATAAATGATCTTAGTGTTACAAGTCTACGGGGACTATTTTTGTGCATTTGTTATTGTGACAGACCAGGACCTGCAAACTACAGATATGTCTTGTGCACCTTTGTAAAATAATAGCTGCTTCCTAAATTATGTCTTCTTCGGCTTAGCTCATTCTGTAGAGAGTAAGACTAGTAAACCAGAGGTCCCAGGTTCAACTCTAATTAGCAGATCATTAAAACAAATGACTTCTGTTATAATGGCCCCATGTAGAGATATGGGAAATATTGATAAAAACACAAGAATCACTATGACTCAAGAAAAACTTGACAAATTCTTTGAAGGGGAGTATGTTACCCTGGTAAAATAATACTAGCTAGTTTATTCAATTCCTACCAACTGGGCTTGGTAGAACTTCTCTACTAGATCTTAATAATATTATATATTAGCCATATCAATGCATGGTAGAGTCGACTAAAGTTATTTAGGGGTGAAAGGGTTAATAAAATTATGTATTAGCTTATACGTTTTAGTGTTAAACTAGTGTAAACCAGATCAAGGTCCATGGTTTCAACTCCTACCAGAGGGATTGAAAAAATAATGACCACAGTTACAGATGGGTGCTTGAACTGGGTAAACCCACAGAGTTTAGCTGGCATTGCATTTCTTCCACCATGTGCGATTCTCACATTATCTATTTATCCACAGAAGATCAAAAGTTGTCATCATACCATCAGAATATATATAGCATCTACAGTAGAGATAGAGCTCAAAGTAACCCATATATATGTAGTGAAACTGGCCTGGGTCAATCGTCGACCAACTCTTTTTTGAAGTACAAGGTTAATGCTTGACAAGGGGATACCGAAACTAGTTGTGTCTTTGGAGGCAAAGACTTAGAAAAAGGAGGAAGGAATGTAGCAGAACTCAGTTCAGTCGATCGTCATCGACCAGGTAGCTCAATTGGTAGAGCGGCTGTCTAGAGTTCGGAAGGTCTCGGGTTCAAACCCTGGTCTGGTTACACTAGTACTACTAGTAGCGCTGTGGATTTTTCCGCTCCTATTACATATATACAATGTAGGAGCTAAACCCAAACATAGGGTACTGTATTCTATTCACATTGGTTGATTTCAATCTCATGATCATGAAGACATACTGAATACCGGCTGTTGTACATGTACTGGTCATTGACAATTTCTACCCTAGAACACTCAAGCTATATATGTAATTATGCGTTAGGCTCTGAAATAGTAAATCAACTGTGAAGAAATTAGATTTTAAGAATTTCAAGATTTTTTTATGTTCTTGAGGATAAATGAAATGGATACATGTATTACTTGAAATTCTTTTAATTACAGACATATGTTACAGACTGAAAAATGAAATACGCCTTATTGTAATTATAGAATTACCGGTACATGTTGACATTTGATTGTAAATTGTAACACAGACTTACAGCTGATACAGCTTTGAACTTGAGTCAGTTAAAGAAGGGTCTTAGGTTTTATTATTTTAAAATATCAGATCTATTTCGAATCCCTTAGTTCCAAGATACGGTAAAACCTCATGGTACTTAAATTAAAGCTGACAGTGCAAGTAAAAATGCTATCAATTGAGATATTTTTTTCTGGTTTTGAGATCTTCCCCATCCAATCTCTTCCAAAAATAGTTTCTTAGGAAGGATCAACATTTAAGTTTGTCCTTGGAATTGCTTGGTAACGAGTATGGGTATCGATAGAAGCGATAGTCGAAAGAGATGGGGAAGATCTCAAAACCAGAAAAAGTTTTTAAAAAAATCTCAATTGAAAGCTTTTTTACTTGCACTGTCAGCTTTAATATTTAATGTAATTCACAATACTACTCAATGTATTGAAGTAGATAAAGGGCTGGAGACATTTTTTATTGTTCACATTCACTTAGTCAACACATATATGCATACATATTGACAAAATAGCTGTACATAAAACACATAATAAGTTTCAGAAACAAATATATCTACTTTTACAATAGAACTAATATAAATATAAAGAAAGGTTGTTCTGATCTTCATAATCATGAAATGAGATTCTAGAATATTGTGCATGATTGGGTTTAGGATGTGAATATGATCTTAAAAACCGATGTTTAGGGAATTTAGCAGAAATAGATAGACATTGATTTGATAAAATAACATATCCAACTAAACTGATGAATCAGAACAAACTTGTTAGAGACAATTCAATGTACCGGGGTATTTGGAAGTAGATGTATAATTCTAGTTGATATACTGGTTATTTGTATATATAAATTTGTAGATTGAAATATATGTTTGCGTTGGTCAAAAGAATTTGTCATGATTAGCATATAGCCCTCCTTCTAAATAATAATTTATTAAGTATTATTTGTATATCAATATTTTCAATTTTTGTATTTTTCAGGTCTTATTCAAGTAGTAGATCAAGGTCTCTTTCTCCATATCAAAAGAAAAGCAAATATTTGAAATCAAGATCAAGGTCACCACGATCCGCCAGACGTAAATCGCCACCTTCTAAGTTTCATCAGAGTCAACACCGGAATTACGCTGCTTCTGCAAGGAAAAGGATACCCTCCGGCAAACCATACAATTTGAAAAAGAGGAGCAGAACACCTTCACCATACGGACGAGGTTCACCTCCTCCACACAAGTCAACAGCACGGCCTAAGACATCACACACTCAATTACAAAGGAGGTAAGCACACAGCATGAAAAAGGAGGTCAGTTCATTACAAAGGAGCTCAAGGTAAGCACGCCTTATCACAAAGCAGGTGAGCACATCTCATCACAATGGAGGTAATGCAAGGCTCATCCCAATTGGGGGTAAGCACATTGCATCAGAAAAGAGGTAAGCACTCCTCGTTTAAAAGGAGGTAAGAATTCACTTCACATGAGCTAAACACACCTCATCATAAAAGGTGGTAAGCATGCCTCATCACAAATTTAAAGAAAGCACACCTCATCACAAAGGAGGTAATATAAGCATAGGTCATCATGATGAAGGCACGGTAGTCTATTGGTAGGACGTCGGGCTCAAGACCGAAGGGTTGCAGGTTCGAGCCACGGCATAGCACTGTGTTGTATCTTTGAGCAAGATACTTTACTCCGCTTAGACCCTATAACTACGGATAATAATTTTTGAACCGCTTTGAGATGACCTACGAACTAGGTTGTGATAAAGCGGTATATAAGAACCTCCAATTATTATTATTATTATTGAGGTATGTCCAAAATATTGAATCTATGTACATGTGAAGAAAGCCAGTTACCACATATCATATACATTTGTAACTTGAGTTGTAAAAACTTAAGTGTTCATATGTATTATTATGATGCTCAAGGCTCTTGCTTCGCTTCAATTTTCGGGTTAAAATTTAAAAGTTAAAGTCACTTAAACATATTTATAACTGTATATCATGCTACATGTATTATTGCCTACTTCTGTCGCTTTTAGCATTTTCTTTATTCAATACATGTAGCTTTAGGTTCTTATAAGTGCCAATTCCGTTTTTTCGTATTGCAGAGTTATCTGCTCTAGTGAGCAGGTATTGATTGTTACGTCATTTGTTTGTGAGAGTAACATCATAAATTTTTGAGAAAACCATGTAATTTTCTCACACAAACTAATGACATAACAATCAATCCCTGCTCACAAGAGCAGATAACTCTGCAATACAGAAAGACGGAATAATGATCAGACAGAGATTCGTATAACATTTTCAGGTCTTAATTCATGAGTTCAATGTGTGTACCAGGGTTCAGGTCTGTCAGTTGATCTTTAACATTTAGCAGTTTTTTTTAGATTTTTTTCTCAGAATTTTAGAGTCAAAACATATGTCAAATAGACCTGTCCTTTAACACCCAAAGGTCAAAGATCAGTTTGAGGAGTCACAAACATACTCTCAAGGGTCAATTGAAAGCCCTTGGGTTGTGTAACAGTATTTGAAGGTCATGGTAAGGACAAAGGGGGGAGGGTATTACAGGTTAGTGAGACTTGTATTACTTTTTCTCTTTTTTTTAAATTTTGGTAAGTGCTGCTTACTTACCTTTTTGACCTTCTAACATTTTATTTAAATTTCACTTATAGAGACAAGTTGGACAACTCCAGGCCGTTAGAGGCAGGTGGTAACAGAGGAAGGTCACCAATCTATACAGGGTCCAAACAACATAGGCTGTCAGAGTCTAGCGGTAATAGGGACAGATCGCCAATATACACAGGGTCAAAACATGACAGGTTTGACCTTAAAACACGAAGGTCATGGTCACCAGAGCAATCCTTTCAGTACAGTGATAGAGATGGTAAGGGCCGATCTGGGGCCCAGAGAAGGAGGAGCCCCTCACCGGAATATAATATGGGGCAGGGCCCTTCCGCCATGTTGTTTCCTGCTGCAGCTAAATTCACATCCATTACAGGGCCGATCTCGATTCCACAGAGCCACACAACGGGAATAAAAATGACGTTAAATAACCGTTTTCAGTTTTTCGATGACTTAGAATTGCCACTGATTGTAGAGGACAACATTACAATAGGTATACATCGTCGGGGCCCCAATATGGTCCATGACTCTCATCAACAAATCATACGCAGTTTCCGGCAAGGAGATACGTTGGATGTTCACAGGAAAGATGAGGGAAAATATCCAATCTTCGACCGAGAGGAGATAAAAGTTTTTCGCCACGACGACATCTTGGATGACGAGGTTTACGAGGAGAAGAGGACAATCAGTGTGGCACACTCAAAACCTAAGGGCCGTCGAGATTCATACGAGACAGACCGTCGAATCATACAAGGGTAAATATATAACTTTTTTTATAACCTCATACTTAACGGATTTATACTGAAAAATGTTAACAGTATTTTAAATACATAGTGTTACACATGTCTTCCATTCCATCCTGTTGTATAAAGTAAAGATTTAATATATTTAATAATTCATTTTCATGACTCTAGCAACTTGATTTACGAACAGATTTTCACAGCTTTAATAATTATAAAGGTCAAGTATGAGAAAACTTTGGAGGAGTTCGTATTTCAGAGATTTCAACATTGACCCTACGGCTGAGGTCAATGTTGCTTTCTATAGGTCACTAACAGGGTCAAAGGGGCATTCATTCATGCCTTAGCTTATTGATGTTTTCTAGCTATAATTTTGCACAACGTGCCATGGAGGTTATATATACTGCATACCAGAAAATGTTGGCCCTGTCAAATTTTCGTCCTTCGACGGTAAAATTTTTCTTCGTCCAATATTAAATTCGCTCATTTAATTTCTAAGAATATTATGTTGTCTACAAATGTTTGCTGTAATGATAAATGGAAAAAGGCAAAAATCAAACTGCAGCGAAAATTTCCCTGTATACCGTTTAGGGATCTACCTGTTTGTTTGTTCATTCATACACAACTTTTGTAAGTGGCCTTCGATACTAAAAACAAAAAGGGTCACCATCGACTTCATTTCTTCTCCAATCCTATAAAACCTTCACACTCATGGTCACAAACATCACTACAAATTTGATTTCCACCTTTTACAGTCAAAATCAAATTTGCATTTATTATGACTTTTACAGTCAAAATCAAATTTGCATTTATTATGACTTTAACAGTGTGAGGGTCTTTGTATTGTCTGCATCGCCTTGTTATTTATATATATTTGTATCTTCTCTATTTCATGGAGTTAACTTTTTTATTTCAGGAAAGCAGGCCATAGTTCACGTTACATTGAACCACAGATCAAGTAAGTTCTTATATATAAAGATTGCAAACTTAACATACATACTGCATCGCCAATGGATTAGGGAGGGAATTGAAAAGGTGCCATATGCACATTCCAAATTAAAATGTGCAAAAATGAATTCATTGTAGATTTTAATAGGATCTAGTTCATTTCAGTAATTGAAAAAAAATGAAAATTGAAGAATTTTTGCACATTATTCAAATGTAAATATAATGCTGTAATAGTTGGAACTGAAATGTTTGAGTCCTGGACTCGTGCCTTTTCTGTGGGACTCAATCAGATTCTGAGAACCTACTACATCTCTTAGTAAGGGCCTGCAGGGACTCACTAACATTTTGATAAAATATGTCCATGACTCGCCTGGAAAAACTATACAAGATCACTGATTATTGGTTTTAAGATGTTTTGAATTTTCAATGACACCTGTGAACCTTATATGAAGATCAAGATAATTTGTGTTTGCTCTCTTGGTGTGCCTATATATTAGGCATGATATATACTCCAGGGGTTACGCTCACTTACGCTCTCTGCACCCCTGGAATATGTCATGGCAAAATTGAAGGCACAAAATCAGCTGTTTAATTGGTCTCAGGTTAAAACACCTGACCGATTGCCCGGCTGATACCTGTTCTTTGAAGATTACAAAGAAGCAACACCCGAGTTCAAATCAGTAATTTTTTTATCCGTGGTTATTGGGCCAAAGGATCAAACTAGTCTTCTAGTCTCATCAACAAGATGGCACACACTGAGCCTTCAATTTTGCTACGACACATTCCAGGCGTGCAGAGAGCGAAAGTGAGCGTAACCCCCGGAGTATCGAGGATGGCTAATGTCTTTAGACCACAAACTGTTGTTATAACTGTAGGTGTGTGTAGATGACTTTTTATTTTTCTGTGAACAAGCATATTTTGAAGTGTACGACATAGCAATGATGTAATCATCACTTGGAGGTTCACGTACAGATTTGAACTTCATTGTTTTTTTTCACCAGGTTTGATCCTCGACCTGATCCACGGTATGAAAGTTTACTGACCGATGCCAGGTTCAAAGATGAAGCAAAGGTGACGCGTATTCAGCGCAACCCAAACGATCTCCGTCATAGCCTGCAGAAGAGGCGCCATGACGACGACGACGAAGACGACGACGAAGATGACCAACATTTTGATGCTAGGTAAAATATACGTCATTTAGAAGGACAGGATCCCGAAAAAGATATATTTTGCATTTTTTCTGCTTTTTGTCTTCCGCCACGAAGTGGAAGCAGGAATAAGGTGTTTCTTTTCTGGCGACGGCTTCAACATTAAGTTTTTGCATTTAAGTTAGTTTCATTGAAAGTATAAGTGCTAGACCAACCAAACTTGGACCATAGATCGATGCGTCTTAGGTAGTACATCTCAACCCATGCATCAAATGCCTGATGCAGCCTACCTTTCATGGTCCATTGACTTTGTCAGCATCTCCATCAACATTCAGTTTTTGCATTTAGGTTAGTGTCTCTGATTTTTGCATTGATGGTCAAAGCGGGGCATAGGTGAACTATATCAATCCGAATGGCATCTTATGATGTTCAATGTGGTTTCCTGTTAGTAATCGAATCCTATTAGTGAATACAAATTTTATTTTTTACTTGGATACTGTTTGTTTTCTACGTGGTTACCACAAAAGATTGTACCTTGAAACCATTGAAGTGGTTTACCACCATATACTGAATTCAATTTATTCACAAGATCATAGTAGAAATGACTGTTTTGATCCCGCACAAGTATTTTTGTAATTGTTTTGGTCGGATAAAAATCTTAAGATAACCATCATGGTTTCCAATGTACTGCAGTATACTAGGAAAGTTGTACCCCAGTTGAACTTTTGCCCTCTGTAATGATGGTATATTTATCATAGCCGTAAAATAAGCACATAACATACATACATAATACGGGGAGTGGGGACCCAAGTCTGTGCAAAGAGTCCGGCGAAGTTCTGTGTTACCCAGCATACAGATTCCACAAGGAAAACACACAAGTCTGGCCATAAATAGAGACATCAATATGTAAAGACGACCATGACAACATCGTGCTGGGTATAACAGCTTTAATCCAAGTTTACATTGATTAGTTTTGACACAAGTGTGTCATCATCAGAACAAGTTTAATACAAATACACAGGTATAAGGTTAGAAATGTGGTGCCTTTCTTTGTAACAGTAATAACAAGGTGTGTTTGAATAAAATAATAAAACTTCAGATCAGTTTACATTATGTAGGAATACTTCAACCATGTGATGACACACTAGGAATCTTCCTAGTGCATGGTGAGTCTCATCAGCTTTGTCTTTCGCTATCCAGGTATGAATGAATGATGCAAACTATGACGTTCCGTAAGAATAGGTATGATGAACTCCGAAGTGTCTGTCCTTGCAGTAGGAATCAAAATAGTATGCACTTATTTTCCGATAGTTTTCTAAGATCTTGTAGTAGAACAGAGACTTGAGATAGAACCAGGACTATTATCATCTTTACCTATTGATACATACATAATAATAATAATAATATGTGAAGGGCTAAAATTACACTGCCTGAAAACGGATTATACAAGTGAAGGGCGGAAATTTAACTTGGCAAAAAAATCCTGGCAAACATTATCAGCAGAGTCATTTTCATCTTCCCTAAATTAGTTCAGATAACAAAATAATAATAAAAAAAACAGTTTGGTGATTCTGGCCCAATGTACACGTGCCTCTTGCATTTTTACATGATGGTGATGCCTTTTTAAAACTTAAAAATAGCTTGTTTTTACTGTATTTAGAATTTCCGACAGATTAAGATATCGGAAGAGTTGTATATTGAACAGGAAGAAGATCGAAGCTAAGAGGAAACACAGCCACCGTGATGACAGGGTCCAAAGTAAGGAAAGATACAGCGACAAGATGGGAGACAGACGACAGGATCGTAGTAGATCCTCAGGTAGGATGTCAGCCTTTTACAGAATCGAGGATTGATGGAATGATTAGCCAATCAGTATCAAGCTTTCATTGGAGGCACGGTAGTCTAATGGTAGGACACCTGGCTCGTGACCGTAGAGTTACAAGTTTGAGTCATGTCACGGCACTGTGTTGTATCTTTGAACAAGATACTTTACTCCGGCGCGTGTTCCAGTCTACTCAGCTGTGAATGAGGACATGGTTGGGCAGTGCTGGAATCATTGAATGCTAACGAGCGCCTAAATTTTCCTGCTTCACAGATTATATATATGAGTTCCTCTTTGCCTTCTTTTCCTTTTGCACTTTTTCTCAATTATTTTTCTTACCCTGTTCTGTATTTTGTGTAATTGATTCTTACCTGGACAAAAGCATTGCTAAGGTAATTAAAATACATTTTACCTTTTGCCTCAAACACTGTCTTGTCAAAATGTTAATTGTTTCGTCTTGTCATGGTCAATTATTTTGTTACCTCTTGTCTTAATCTTAATATTTGTTATGCATGCTGAAAGCGCACATGACAAGTTATTCTTACATCTTCAATACGATTCATCAGTTTGGAAATGTAATTTCAAAGTTTGCACAAACAGTGTACATATCAAATGTGTCGCAACATCTCGAGACTGACTGGTCCATTTGTCAAGTGATGATTGAGTGAGTAATTTGTATTGTTGACCCGTTTAACAATGTGACGAGTGATTTGTATTGTTGACCTGTATAACAATGTGACGAGTAATTTGTATTGTTGACCTGTATAACAATATGACGAGTAATTTGTATTGTTGACCTGTATAACAATGTGACGAGTTATTTGTATTGTTGACCTGTATAACAATGTGTCGAGGAATTTGTATTGTTGACCTATATAACAATGTGACGAAGTTAATGTCACCTGACACAGGACGTATGCGTATCGATAGAGAGCGAATGCACACTGAACTTATGTTTCTTTCTCATTTTATTTGTTCAGATAGCAGACAAAAACAGGCGACCGAAACAGAAGTTTTACCCGATTTTTCTAATCGTCCAGGGAGGTTGGACGCAGGTAATGGTGACACTAGACGTTCGGGTTACAGACATATACATGTACATGAATAGAGGATCTGTCATAAGTTAACCTTTTTATTAGATGTATGATACAAGTTTTGGATCCAAAACGAGTATCATACATCTAATATGAAGGGAACGAATAATTAGGGCCCGGTATCGGAGATACGGGTGCCTTATAGTAATCGCTCTGTCTGTCTGTCCGTCCACAACTTCTGTTCCTGGCTGATAACTTTGGTATTTATTGACCGATGTACATGAAACTTGGTCAAGATGTTCAGTTCACAAAAATACACCTTAAGGTAAAAAATCAAGGTCAAAGGTCAAGGTCATTAGGTTCAAAGGTCAAGGTCAAATTTTACATCTTTTCACTGATGAACATTTTGTTATGACATCATGATGCAAAGTTGATCAGAATTAAACAAGGATTCAACTGACCAAAGGTCAAGGCCATCGGGTCCGGGGTCAAGGTCAAATTTTGTAGCTTTTCACTGGTGAACATTTCGCTATGACATTATGAAGTGAGTTGTTCGCAATCAAACAAAGAGAAACACTGAGGTAAAAAGTCGAGGTCAAAGGTCAAGGTAATTAGATTCAAAGGTCATGGTCAAATTTGCATCTTTTCACTGATAAACATTTTGTTATGACATGATGAAGCAAAGTTGATCAGAATTAAACAAGGAGTCAACTGACCAAAGGTCAAGGTCATTGGGTCAAAGGTCAAGGTTAAATTTTGTACCTTTTCCCTGATGAACATTTTGTTATGACATTATGAAGCAATGATGTTCAGAACTTAACACAGAGTCAACTGACCTTAGGTCCAGGTTAGGGGTTCAAAGGGTCAAGGTCAAGTTTTGTATTTTTCACTGATGAACATTTTGTTATGATATCAAGAAGCAAAGTTGGTCGGAATTAAAGAATAAGTCAACTGACCAAAGTTCAGGGTCACTAGGTTAATGGTCAAGGTCATTTGGGTCCAAAGGTCAAAGACAAAGTGGATCTCTGACTTTGACCCTGGCTCTTGATGTAGGAGGTATATAATGTGAAATAAAACAAATCAAAGCTAACAAATGAGTTTTGCACCGGTATTTACATTTCTGTTAGCCTAGAAAATATGGAGGTGGAAGGAAACAAGACTCACATCATAGTACATGTAAAATGTATATTTTGCTTCCTTGCGATTCTTTTTGACGTCCAAACGTCAAGTTCAGCTTTATGGGCAGATTGCTTCTTGATGATTATGGGGGATATATTGCCACAAGACGGGGCCCTTACTGACCTGTCAGTGTTTTTAGTTGTGATCTGAAACAAATATTTTGCACTTGGTCGCCTCTGAAACATTGAAAATTGTGTCCGCTTCACAATGACTTGACGTCACATTGATTGTTCCTATTCGTTTGTGACGTTATTTTGGGAGTGATACTACTTTAATTGTTACATAAACATAATTTATGTGATGGCTTTATGACACTGCATAACACAGTATTCATATGATAAATAGGGGTTATTTTTTTTAATATCACTCATTGAGTTTGAGTGTAGGGATTTTAGTCTTAATTGATCATAAAGCATCCCTTGGTACATACCTCAGAACAATGTGTATAAAGTGAGTTTTCATCTAAACACATAACAAGTTAGGAAAGTTACAGATCGGCACACTTTGTTTACTGGGAATACCTAAACACTTGTGCGTCATGTTTTCAGATCTCTTCAAGCAGGAGGAATGGAAGGACAAGCCGGAGATGATTCCTAAAAACCCGATGTACTATGAGGTAAGTCCAAAGGTCGCCCATGAAACTCATCATATTACCTATCATACAACCCATTCTGTGTAGTATCAACTGATACATACACTAGGGCTACATTCACGTATCCCGGTTGAAATGGTACGCGTGGCGCAGAAATATTCCACGATTAACGAACGCACTTGGACCGTTCTATAAGCAGAGCTAAAAATGCACAGTTTTGGAGAATAAAAAACAATGAATATTATGCTCTTCTTTTAACTGTCCACTTAATTGCATAGCGTATCTTAAAATCTACATGTGGCTTGACATTTTTTTAGAAAGAAATAACGTAAACTAGCAATATTCAGCAGTTTATTTTCAGTCAGGTACGTCTGGACCCCTCAATCTACACATGCCAAATTTTCCTAAGATCAGCTTCAGTTCAATTCTGTGCCTGTCGTTTTCTTTACAGGTTCAACCGTTTCAACCGGATACACAAATTTACCCTATGTATGATACAAGTTCTCATGGGCCTATAATACTTGAAATGTCTTTGCTTCCTTGCTGAAAGTGCTTTCTAGGGATTGTGTATCAGGTCTCAGGTTTATAATCACTGTTACTGTGAATAGAACATGGGTTTCCTCACAATAAGCTCTTCTGGTTGAACAACACTCAAATTTGGGCATTGGTTTTTGCTCTTTAATACCTTTAATTATGCCACATCTACATTTGTATAAATCAGCGTGTCTGATTGGATTATCTTGATTACGTGATGGGGCTATAAAATATTGTGTCAACCTTACACATTAACGTTTCTCAGTCATTGTCTCCCCGCCACAAAGTAGCGGAAGTGAGACCATGGTGATGCTTTTCCGGGAACGATGGCGGCTGCAGCTTCAACGTTAAGTTTTTGCATTTAAGTTAGTTTGTGTTTAAGTTAGTTTCACTGAAAGTATAAGTGCTAGACCAACCAAACTTGGACCATACATGCATCTTAGGTAGTGCATCTCAACCCATGCAACAAATGCTGGATGCGGCCTACCTTTCATGGTCCATTGACTTTGTCAGGATCTCCATCAACATTGAATTTTTGCAATTAAGTTTGTTTCATTGAAACTGTAAGTGCTAGACCAACTAAGCTTGACATTTGCATTGATGGTCAAAGCGGGGCACAGGCAAGACATATCAATTTGAATGGCTTGTATTTCCCCTATATGGAGCCCTCTCTAGCAACCTGACAACAATAACTGGGTTCTGAGTGACTGAAGCAGACGACAACAATGACGTGTCAACTTGATAATCGTAACTACTGTGTTGTTGTTTTATAAAATATTTATTTTCGTTGTGGTAGGGAAACGTGGTTCTTTGTTTCTTCTCAGTTACTTACGTTCCTTTAACCTCGTGAAACATGATAAATGTCGGCGAAACAAAGAATTGTGTTTTCCTTCCACAAGGGCAATAATATAAATATCCAGTAACACATCTCAAATTGATTCTACTGTCATCCACAGCATGATACTCGTGAGGATGACCAGGGGTACGTAGGGCGTGGTCGGTATAGCAGGCGACCTTACAGGCAGGGGTTCCGTACCAGAGGCTCGTACACCTACAACAGAGGCAGCAGCAGCAGCAGCAGCAGCACCACCACCCAACAAAGGACAAGCAGCTATAAAGGGACAAACTTCATACCAAACTTCCGTCCACGTGGATTCAGGCGCCCTTACAACAGCAACTATAGAGGGCGAGGCTCAAACAGTAAGTGTTTACTCATTCAACCCTGAAGACACATTTGAACTCTTCCAATTCAAAGGTAGGAATAGTTCATTATGAAATTTCAGGGTTGAATGAAATATAAGATGATTTAGTGGTATATGGAGAAAGAGAACATGTTGACATGAAGGGACGTTCACAGTCGGTGAGAACATGTTATGATGGCGGTGTGAGGCTGAAACATTTAGTAAATACAAATATGTAACGACTGGTATCAGAAGAGCACTTTTACAATAGATGTGACAATGTACATATAATGGTAATCGGACGAACCTATTGTAAATACAAACGCTCAAATGACAGGGCTTCTATTGACCCTTAAGAGTACGTTTTGGAATTACTTTTGACTCTTGGATGTGAAAGAACCTGTCTAGTTGAACTGTTATTGCAAAATGTCAAAGGCCACCTGAAAGCCATGTAGAGACGTTTGCAGTAAGTGTTTACATGTCGTGACGGTGGTTTTGAGATCTTTTGAAATTTACATAAAATGTGAAGACATGTGACAAGATCATTAGAAGATGTTCACAGCAAGAGTTTTTATGTAGTGACAGTGGTTAAGGACGAAAATGTTTGTGGCAAGTATGAACACGAACTGACAAGGGTATTGGGAGAGTTGTTGACAGTAAGTGTGACCATGTAGTGGCGGTGATATTAGGAGATGTTTACAGTAAGTATGACCATGTAGTGGCAGTGATATTAGGAGATGTTTACAGTAAGTTAACCATGTAGTGGCGGTGATATTAGGAGATGTTTACAGTAAGTATGACCATGTACTGGCGTGATATTAGGAGATGTTTACAGTAAGTATGACCATGTAGTGGCGGTGATATTAGGAGATGTTTACAGTAAGTGTGACCATGTAGTGGCTGTGATATTAGGAGATGTTTACAGTAAGTGTGACCATGTAGTGGCAGTGATATTAGGAGATGTTTACAGTAAGTATGACCATGTACTGGCGTGATATTAGGAGATGTTTACAGTAAGTGTGACCATGTAGTGGCGGTGATATTAGGAGATGTTTACAGTAAGTGTGACCATGTAGTGGCGGTGATATTAGGAGATGTTTACAGTAAGTATGACCATGTAGTGGCGGTGATATTAGGAGATGTTTACAGTAAGTGTGACCATGTAGTGGCGGTGATATTAGGAGATGTTTACAGTAAGTGTGACCATGTAGTGGCGGTGATATTAGGAGATGTTTACAGTAAGTGTGACCATGTAGTGGCGGTGATATTAGGAGATGTTTACAGTAAGTGTGACCATGTAGTGGCGGTGATATTAGGAGATGTTTACAGTAAGTGTGACCATGTAGTGGCGGTGATATTAGGAGATGTTTACAGTAAGTGTGACCATGTAGTGGCGGTGATATTAGGAGATGTTTACAGTAAGTGTGACCATGTAGTGGCGGTGATATTAGGAGATGTTTACAGTAAGTGTGACCATGTACTGGCGTGATATTAGGAGATGTTTACAGTAAGTATGACCATGTACTGGCAGTGATATTAGGAGATGTTTACAGTAAGTGTGACCATGTACTGGCTGTGATATTAGGAGATGTTTACAGTAAGTGTGACCATGTACTGGCGGTGATATTAGGAGATGTTTACAGTAAGTGTGACCATGTAGTGGCGGTGATATTAGGAGATGTTTACAGTAAGTGTGACCATGTAGTGGCGGTAATATTAGGAGATGTTTACAGTAAGTGTGACCATGTAGTGGCGGTGATATTAGAAGATTTTTACAGTAAGTGTTACCATGTACTGGCGGTAATATTAGGAGATGTTTACAGTAAGTGTGACCATGTACTGGCGGTGATATTAGGAGATGATTTACAGTAAGTGTGACCATATAGTGGCGGTGATATTAGGAGATGTTTACAGTAAGTATGACCATGAAGTAGTGGTGATATTAGGAGATGTTTACAGTTAGTGAGTCCATGTAGTGGCGGTGATATTAGGAGATGTTTACAGTAAGTGTGACCATGTAGTGGTGGTAATATTAGGAGATGTTTACAGTAAGTATGACCATGTATTGGCGGTGATATTAGGAGATGATTTACAGTAAGTGTGACCATATAGTGGCGGTGATATTAGGAGATGTTTACAGTAAGTGTGACCATGTACTGGCGGTAATATTAGGAGTTGTTTACAGTAAGTGTGACCATGTAGTGGCGGTAATATTAGGAGATGTTTACAGTAAGGATGACCATGTAGTGGCGGTGATATTAGGGGATGTTTACAGTAAGTATGACCATGTAGTGGCGGTAATTTTAGGAGATGTTTACAGTAAGTGTGACCATGTACTGGCGGTAATATTAGGAGTTGTTTACAGTAAGTGTGACCATGTACTGGCGGTGATATTAGGAGTTGTTTACAGTAAGTGTGACCATGTAGTGGCGGTAATATTAGGAGATGTTTAAAGTAAGTATGACCATGTAGTGGCGGTGATATTAGGAGATGTTTACAGTAATGACTAAACACTATATGAGTACAGCATGTTGCATGACCTTTTTGTAAACTTTCCCTTTTGCTTTGCTTCTTTAACCTTGCTTTAGTGATTTTGTGTGTAACAGAGCACCCGTCGTGTCTTCAGACCATTTCTAGTTGCTTGGTGTCGATTTACCCCATTCAGATATATGTTGTGTACTGATTTGTGTTGTTTTTACTCCCCTTAGCTTCGTCAGACTACTACAGAAAGACATCTCCCTCCAGCGACAGGAAAGGTACCTATAAGTCCTTAAATACTTAAATACGGTCTATATGAAATAGTCTTAATCATCCTACAGAGTCCAGGTGGACTGAAAATGGTCTCTTTACTGTCTAGCTGGACTGAAAATGGTCTCTTTACTGTCTAGCTGGACTGAAAATGGTCTCTTTACTGTCTAGCTGGGCTGAAAATGGTCTCATTATTGTCTAGCTGGACTGAAAATGGACTCTTTACTGTCTAGCTGGACTGAAAATGGTCTCTTTACTGTCTAGCTGGGCTGAAAATGGTCTCTTTACTGTCTAGCTGGGCTGAAAATGGTCTCTTTACTGTCTAGCTGGGCTGAAAATGGTCTCTTTACTGTCTAGCTGGGCTGAAAATGGTCTCTTTACTGTCTAGCTGTACTGAAAATGGTCTCTTTACTGTCTAGCTGGGCTGAAAATGGTCTCTTTACTGTCTAGCTGGGCTGAAAATGGTCTCTTTACTGTCTAGCTGTACTGAAAATGGTCTCTTTACTGTCTAGCTGGGCTGAAAATGGTCTCTTTACTGTCTAGCTGGGCTGAAAATGGTCTCTTTACTGTCTAGCTGGGCTGAAAATCGTCTCATTATTGTCTAGCTGGACTGAAAATGGACTCGTATTGTCTAGCTGGACTGAAAATGGTCTCTTTACTGTCTAGCTGGGCTGAAAATGGTCTCTTTACTGTCTAGCTGGACAAAAAATGGTCTCTTTACTGTCAAGCTGGACTGAAAATGGTCTCTTTACTGTCTAGCTGGGCTGAAAATGGTCTCATTATTGTCTAGCTGGACTGAAAATGGACTCTTTACTGTCTAGCTGGACTGAAAATGGAATCGTTATTGTCTAGCTGGACTGAAAATGGATTCGTTATTGTCTAGCTGGACTGAAAATGGTCTCATTATTGTCTAGCTGGACTGAAAATGGACTCGTTATTGTCTAGCTTGACTGAAAATGGTCTCATTATTGTCTAGCTGGACTGAAAATGGACTCTTTACTGTCTAGCTGGACCGAAAATGGTCTCTTTACTGTCTAGCTGGACTTAAAATGGTCTTGTTATTGTCTAGCTGGACTGAAAATGGACTCGTATTGTCTAGCTGGACTGAAAATGGTCTCTTTACTGTCTAGCTGAACTGAAAATGGACTCGTTATTTTCTAGCTGGACTGAAAAATGGACTCGTATTGTCTAGCTGGACTGAAAATGGTCTCTTTACTGTCTAGCTGAACTGAAAATGGTCTCTTTACTGTCTAGCTGGACTGAAAATGGTCTTGTTACTGTCTAGCTGGACTGAAAATGGACTCGTTATTGTCTAGCTGGACTGAAAATGGTCTTGNAGGAGAATTCCTTCATTTTGACAAAAAAAAATATCAATCTAATCGAAAATCCCTCATTCAAGTCCAAACTCACATAAGTTAAAATCTGCATACTGTGGTCTAATGATCCTAGTNTGAAAATGGTCTCATTGTTGTCTAGCTGGACTGAAAATGGACTCGTTATTGTCTAGCTGGACTGAAATATTCCAGCGATGTACAGCAAGATGCTGAAACGGTTAACTTATTTTATCCCCTCTGAATGAAAGGGAGAAATTTTGTGTAAGTACTCATCATTCTTCCGATGAAATTTTTCCAGTCCAAGTTTTAAACTGTTAATGATGATAGTGTTAGGATTTTGATCGTTTGCACAGAGGTATTTCAGGGACCAGCAGTGGAGTTAAACTTGAGAAAAAAGTTATTGGTTTTATTTTTGGAATTTAAGACGACAAGTTTTGGACTTACCTGGTACTGATTGATTACCTTTACTGCAGGCTACTTTACAGATTCACAGTTGACAGTCATTGTCTAATATAAGAGTTATTTTTAGCTACCTTGCAGATATAACAGTTATTTTTAGCTACCTTACAGATATAACAGTTATTTTTAGCTTCCTTGCAGATATAAGAGTTATTTTTAGCTACCTTGCAGATATAAGAGTTATTTTTAGCACACCATCAATAAGCATCATCAGATGGTGGGCTGTTCAAATTGTCGTTTGTAGTCTGTGATCTTCTAAATCGATTCTTGTTATAGCTTTTTCTCATGTAGTACATTTCAGATATTTTTTGTATATTATGATTTCAGCACGTTGCATGCCTTATTGTAAACTTTCCTGTTGGCTTTGCTTCTGTGTCCTTGCTTTAGTGCTTAAGTGTGTGTAACCGAGCACCCGTCGTGTCTTCAGACCATTTCTAGTTGCTTGGTGTTGATTTACCCCATTCAGATATATGTTGTGTACTGATTTGTGTTGTTTTTACTCCCCTTAGCTTCGTCAGACTACTACAGAAAGACATCTCCCTCCAGCGACAGGAAAGGTACCTATGAACATACAATTGTCCTCTGTCCATGGTCCCTGCTCCAATCCCTTCTAAATCAATTCCATCGCTGTCAACCCTCCCTCATTAGGAGGAGAATTCCTTCATTTTGACAAAAAAAAATATCAATCTAATCGAAAATCCCTCATTCAAGTCCAAACTCACATAAGTTAAAATCTGCATACTGTGGTCTAATGATCCTAGTTTACTACAGGGGGTGTGTAATGATCATAACAGGTGTGTCTGAATCAAATGAATGCTTTTTATACGCCCGTCGAAGACGGGGACGTATTATGTTATCACGTGAGCGGGCGGGCGGGTG